TAGCTGATGAAGGGATGGATAGGATGAGGAGGGAGGAGGAAGAAAAGAAGAATGGGATTGGTAGGGAAAAAGGGAAGAAAGGAAAGGAAGATAGAAGGAGGAAAAGAAAGGAAGATAGAAGGAAAGGAAAGGAAGATAGGAAGGGAAAAGATAGAAGGAGCAAAGGAAGATAGAAGAAGGCAAGGAAATTAGAAGGAGGAAGGGGAAGGAAAGGAAAGGAAAGGAAAGGAAAGGAAAGGAAAGGAAAGGAAAGGAAGATAGAAGAAGGAAAAGAAGATAGAAGAAAGAAAGGAAAGGAAAATAGAAGAAGGACAGGAAGATAGAAGAAGGGAAGGACAGGCAGTTAGAAGAAGGAAAGGAAAGGAAGATAGAAGGAAAGGAAAAGAAGATAGAAGAAAGAAAGGAAAATGGAAGAAGGAAAAGAATATAGAAGAAGGAAAGGAAAGGAAAATAGAAGGAAAGGAAAAGTATATAGAAGAAGGAAAGGAAAGGAAGATAGAAGAAGGAAAGGAAAAGAAGATAGGAGGAGGAAAGGAAAATAGAAGGAAAGGAAAGGAAGATAGAAGGAAAGGAAAAGAAGATAGAACGAGGAAAGGAAAATAGAAGGAAAGGAAAGGAAGATAGAAGAAGGAAAGGAAAGGAAAAGAAAGGAAAGACGTAGCCCCGACAATTACTAGCTGCAGTTGGGCAACATCACTGGATAGTCTGGGGTGGTTGGTGGGGCCTGCTGCAGATTTCATCTGCCAACCCGCTTCTTCACCCCTTTTCCCCCTCCTCTCATTCTCCCCCCCCCCCCGCCTTTCCCTCCCACCCCCCCCCCACCCCGTTTTCTCTCCTTGGTTTGGACTTTGGCTTCTCCCTGGCTTGATTTTATTTTTTCTCCCCCTCCCCCCCAGCCTAACCACTCCGGGCTCCAGGGCCTCCACCGCCTCCGCCTCCGCCGCCGTGAGCTCCGCGCGCCCGCGACAGCACCAGAAATCCATGTCCGCCTCGGTGCACCCCTCCAAGCCCACGCTGCCCCCCACCGACAATCACTGCGAGGCCCAGCGACCTAGGCAAGTGGGCAGCTGTGGGCACCTGGGGGTCTTTCCTTCCCTCCTCTCCTGCTTCCTGCCCTCCAGGTCTCACCAGCTGCCCCCCTTGGTTTCATTGTTCTGCGTCCCTTCCTGGCCCCAGAGCCATAACCCTTGCGGTGGGGGGCAGGGCTGCCTAGAGGGGATCGGGGCAGAAGAGGTTGGGGAGGGGGGTCTGTCCTGAGACCTGGGAGCTCATCCTGTTGGGTGGGTTGCCCCCCTATTTTTTAGGCAGGGGTCCCCAAACTTGGCCAACTTTAAGACTTGTGGACATTCTCCCAGTCATCATATTGGAGTGGCAAAGCTTTGAATGACCACTAGAGGGCAGCAAAGAGATGTGCATCTCTTTGCTGCCCTCTAGTGGACATTTCAGCAAGTTGGATTCCCAGAATTCCCATGGAGAATTCGGGGACTTGAAGTCCACAAGTCCTAAAAGTTGGGCAAGTTTGGAGACCTCTGGCCTAAAGGCTTGAAGGGGGGGGAAACACGGTTTCATGGTGTCTTTCCTCAACATGCCCTCCACCTCTTCATGGCCCTGGGTCCCCGGGTTCCAATTGCCCTACGATCCTGGCTCGTTTGGGACCCACCGGCCAGGACAATGTTGGCGATTCCTACTGGGTTTGCTTCCCCCTCTCCATGCCCGGGACAAAGGGAATCCATTTTGTAGGTAGTCCTCTACTTGCGAAGGCAAGCGGGACCATAACGCCTTCCGTCACCAAGCAGTGGAGTCATTAAGTGAAACATCGGCTGACCACTCCTGATTTCACAGTCTTTTGGGCCTCGGTAGTTAAGTCAACCCAGCTTCCCCACCGTCAGGGTGGAAGCCTCCTGTCAACTCAAAAATATTTCTCTGGTCTTTTAGAGTTGTCAGCAGAAAGGGAGTGGGGGGAAGCAGTGCATTCCTTAAATGCTTCAGATAATTGCTAGGCAGCCGAAGCTTCTGGCGCTCAAGATTATTACTGGAGAGCATGATTGATGACTCTGGGCTATGGATGTGTCCCGTTGGAGAATATACATCCAAGGGTGGGGGGAAGACCAAGGCCAAAGAGTCAGCTACACCCAGGTAGCACCAACATGGACACTCCTAATAAATTAATTTCTTTTTTTAACTCTGAGAGACGCGGCTAGAGACTCGAGATTTGAAATGGGGGTGAATTGTCGGAGCCCTGACACCCCCTCCATCTTCATCCTTGGGGGAGAAACCCCCGGGATACCATCTAAAAATGGCTTGTCAGGCCTGACCCAATGGATCGGCTCTCCGCTCACCCCCTCCCCAGGAACCCCAAACCAGCATTCGTGGGTTGGACATGGCTTCTCTCTCCCTTCGCCACCCACACCTCCCGAGTCAGCGGAGGGGCGGAGGGTCTCTCCGTCTGGCCTCCCCTGACTGACCTCCTCCTCCTCCTCCTCCTCTTTCCCCACAGCACAGCCCCCCAGCGGGCTCCCGTGGCCTCCCCCTCCGCCCACAACATCAGCAGCGCCCTCCCCGAGCGCACCAACTTCCCACGAGGCATCCAGAGCCGCAGCACTTTCCACGCCGGGCAGCTCCGGCCGGTCCGGGACCAGCAGAACCTCTCTTACGGACTGACCCCCGCCTCGCCTTCGGGCAACAGCCAAGGCCGGAGAGGGGCTTCGGGCAGCCTCTTCAGCAAGTTCACCTCCAAGTTCGTACGCAGGTGAGCCGGGGAAGGGCGGGAGCAGAGCATCCGGGGTGGCGTGACTGCATGGAGGGGGGAGGGCGGGGGCAGGGTGAGCGTGAGATGGGACAGACACCCCCGGTTTCTCCTCCCCTATCAGAAACGTCCCTGCTGTTCTCAGGGGCTCCGAGGGGCGCATGCTGGCTGATTCTTTGTGTGTGTCGGACCCCCCGCTGCCCCTCCCTCTCTCCCTCCCCTCCCACAGATCCCCACCACGATGTCACAGCGCCCACAGTCCGCTGTCTGCTGCGGTGGCGGAGGGGTTAAGAGTGCAGTACTGCGGGCGACTTCTGCCGGCTGCCTACAATTGGGCAGTTTGAGTCTCACCAGGCTCCAGGTGGACTCAGCCTTCCTTCCTTCCAAGGTTGGTCCAATGAGGACCCCGACTGTTGGGGGCAAGAGGCTGACTCTGTCAACCGCTTAGAGAGGGCTGTGAAGCACTATAAAGCGGTACATAAGTATAAGAGCCTCGGTGGCGCAGTGGTTAGAGTGCAGTACTGCAAGCTACTCCTACTGCAGTTGGGCAGATCGAATCCCACCGGGCTCCAGGTGGACTCAGCCTTCCTTCCTTCCAAGGTGGGCGAAAGGAAGACACAGATATGCTAACTCTTGCTTTGAGAGGGCTGTAAAAGCGCGATAAAGCGGTATATAATCGTGCTATTGCTATAAGGGCTGTTGCTATTGGTCCACACTCAGATCGCGCACACACTCCAGGTGGTGCCAAGAAACCAAAGCTGCCACCAGCTCTTTTAAGGGGGGGAGGTGAACTCACCCAGCTTTCAGATGCCCCCCCCCCACCAGGGCTCCACAGGGCTGGGGCACAACCTCTCCCTAGCAAGATCCAGAAAGGGGGCCCTCGACCCCCAAGTGGGTCTGGGATGCAAGAACAGCCTAGACATCTCCCCTCCCCCAAAAGAGGAGACTTTCTTTGGACTAACACCGCTGGGGAATGACAAGCTATCATTCAGGGTGGCTTAGCCAGCATTGTCCCTGCAAAGCCCAGGATGGAGTGGGTGGGAGGGCTCCTGATCACAGGACCCCTGTAGCACTAAGAATAACAAGAGTTGGAAGGAAGGGGAGGTGGTGGCTCGGGGGCTAAAGACGCTGAGCCTGTCGATCAGAAAGGTCGGCAGTTCGGCGGTTCGAATCCCTAGTGCCGCATCATGGAGTGAGCTCCCGTTCGAAACCATGTAAAAAAAAAAAAAACTTGGTTTTCTCAACCTCGGGCCCTTTTAGGATGGGCGGACTTCAACTCCCAGAATCCTCCTTCCACCTTCTGCTGGTTCTGATCTCTGCTCTGCCGGCTGGGGAATTCTGGGAGTTGAGGTCCACCCATCTTAAAAGGCATCCGAGGTTATGAAACACCAAAATAGTCTAGTTAGTATTGGAAGAAGGCCCGAAATCAGACAAGGCTGCGAGCCCAAACCACAAACTGTGTGTGTGTCTGTGTCTGTGTGTGTGTGTGTGTGTGTGTGTGTGTTCGAGAGGCTGTTTTGTAAACCAACCTCCTCCTTCGCAAGGCCCCAAGAGGAGGGGAGGGAGTCTGGGAAGAGGGGGGGGGAATGACCCACCTCGGTGCAGTCCAACGCCTCCTGTCTCCAGCCCCCCACCCCCATTTCTTTTGCTGTGTGTTTTTGACCTTCCTTCCTGCCCACCCCGTCAACTCACCCCCCGTCCTTCTGTGGGTCCTTCCCTGGGCAGCCTCCAGCCAGAGGGGGCTACGGGGCGGGAGAGAGCAGGGGTGACCCCAGCCACCCCGGGTTCCACCGCACTCCCTCTCGCCTTCCGAAAGAGGTGACCGGGGATTTCGGGGAGCCCCACCCACCCAAGACAGATCCCAGTTTGAAACACAGGGAGGCTGTCCGTCTTTCTGCGTTGGACGGAAGGAATGAAAAAACGGGGGGGGGGGGGGGGGGGGGGGGGGGGGCACCGGCCTATTCCGGGACCCGTGGCTTGTTCATTTCACACTTTTCACGCTTGCTCATCCACCCACCTCTGTGTTTTTTTCCTCCCCCCTCCCTTTTTTTTTACCCCCTCCCCTTCTAGAAATCTGTCTTTCAGGTTTGCCAGAAGGTAGGCGTTCGTCACTCTGGAATTTGTTCTTTTCCCTCCTCTTCCTCCTCCTCCTCCTCCTTCCTCTCATGCAACACTCACCTCCTCCCTGCCAGCTTCTCTCGCTCTCTCGCTCTCTCTCTTTCTCTCGCTCTCTCTGTCTCCCTCCCCCCCCCCCCCGCCCCACGATGGCCAAGGGTGGCTGTGTGTGAACGCAGAGGGCACCCTTAAAGGGACAGTTTGGTAGCGGTGGTGGTCTTATTAGCTTTTGGCCTGCAGGAAGGGAAGCCCACCGGGATGTGGGGGAGGGGGCTGTTTCCACTCGGTCCCATCTGGGTCGCCAATAAGTTGTCCCGGCGTTGGATTAACCGTACGAGAAGGCTGTCTCTTTAAAGGTGGTTCTCCATCTTTGTGGTTTTTGCCTTGGCTGGGCCTCTGCTCTTTCTAACCAGACTCTTCCCCCCCACCCCCACCCCCCTTCCCCTCTCCTGCCCCACACTAATCCCTCTTCTCCCTGCATGGTGGCGGTTAGGAGGAGCTGGGCTATATCCCTCTGCTCTGCTGCTGGACGCTGCCTTGAAGGTTCAGGCTTAGCTTGCGGGAGGTGGGCGAACAGGGATTCAGCCCATCCAGGGGAACTTCACGGTCCTCCCCGGGGATGAAAATGGGGAGTAGGGGGTTTGCACACACCCCTAAGGGGAAGTTGCTAGCCATGGCGCAGGTTGCAGTGATCTCTTTTCAAGGGGAAAAAAGTGAGATCACAAAGGTAAATTTACAAGAGCCACTTTGGCCTGGTGGTTAAGTTGCTGGGCTAGGAACCAGGCGCCTTGAGCGTTCTAGTCCTGCCGTAGACCCAGCCAGGTGGCTTTGAGCCAGTTCCTCCCCCCCCCCTCTCTCTCAGCCCTCGTGAGGTTGTTGTTGGGGATAAAATAGGAGGAGGAAGGATTAGGTACGTTCACCCGCTGAACAGTAAGTAAGAAATCTGGAATCAAAATAAAGAGAGAAAACTGGCTTTGGGCTGTCTAGATAGTCCTTGACGTACAGCCACAACCGAGCCCAAGGTTTCTGCTGCTAAGTGAGACATTACGTTCAGTGAGTTTTTTGCCCCGTTTTACGACCTCGCTTGCCACGGTTGTTAAGTGAATCGCCGCCATTGTTAAGTTAATCGGAGGGTTCTTAAGTGAATTTGGCTTCACTCACTGACTTTGCTTGTCAAAAGGTCGAAAAAGGGGATCATGTGACACACACCACCACCACCCCGGGATTCTGCGACCGTCATAAATACGAACCAGTGCCGTTGTAACTTCAGACGGTCACTAAATGAACTGTTGTAAGTCGGGGAATTGCCTGTGTAGCGTTCCCATACGTTTCCTCTCTCCAATTGGGAGGAAGTTGTGCTGTCAGTTTTCAGCGGTCACTTCTACAGAGTCGTGTGTGCGAGAGCTGCGAGATGCCGGGCTTAAGTAAATGGAATCAAGCCAGCTTCATCCACTCGCATGAACTCGGGTTTAAACGGAAATAAGCAGAATTGTGTTGTTGTTTTTTTGCTTCAGTAACATCTGCTTCCTGGCAGCCCTTTGCATTCCCCCCAAGGAAGGAAAGGAAGGAAGGAAGAAGGGAGGAAGGAAAGAAAGAAACAAAAAAGAAAGGGAGGAAGGGATAAGGGGAGAGGGAGAGAAGGAAGAAAAGAAAGAAGAAGAAAAAGAGAAAAGAGAAAGGAGGGAAAGAAGGAAGAGAGAGGGAAGGAAGGAAGAAAAGGAAGGAAGGGAAGGAAGAAAAGAAAAGAAGGAAGGGATAAAGGGTGAGGGAGAGAAGGAAGAAAAGAAAGAAGAAGAAAAAGAAAAGGAAGGAAAGAAGAAAGGGAAGGAAGAAAGGGAAGGAAGAAAAGAAAGAGAAAGAAAGGAAGGAGGGATAAAGGGGGAGGGAGAGAAGGAACAAAAGAAAGAAGAAGAAAAAGAAAAAAGAAAGGGAGAGAAGGAAGGAAGGAAGAAAGAGGGAAGGAAGAAAAGAAAAAGAAAGCAAGATCCTTTTTTATTAACCTTCAACTTTCCAACCTGGTACAGCAACGGTGTTGACCTACAAAATTGACCCCAGAGTCCTTCTCTTGGAGCAGAGCTGGGCAGAATAGAGAATGCGTATGTGTGAATTCCACCCCACCCCCACCCACCCCCCCAAAAGAGGGGAGGGGTATTACAAGATAGCCCTCCCCCTTCTCAACCTGCAACCCTCTGCTGAGAGAAACAGAGTCCCAAGGGCTCTGGAGTTGCCTTGCTTTGCCTTTTGCACAGGGAGGGCGCGATGCTCGCGCACGAGAGCCTCTCCTGAAAGTGATGGGCAGAGGGAAAGAGCCCCCTTTCAAGGCGCATGGGCCCAGAAGGGTTAGGAGCACCCCAGCACACTGGGCCACGGTTGTCCCCAAAAGGAGCTTTTTGCAAAAGGCAGCTGGACTTTCGTGGGCTTTAAAAGCGTTTTGCTTCTCGCCCGAGAAGCTTTTTCTGTTCTTCTTGGATGAAGGAAGGAAGAGAAAGGAAGAAAAATGGACAGAAGGGAAAAGAAAAAGGAACAGAAGGAAGGAAAGAGAAAACAAAAAAAAGAAGGAAGGAAGGAAGGAAAAAAGAAAGATTAGGAAGAGAAGAAAGGAAAGAAAAAGGAAAGAAGGAAGCAAAAAGGAAGGAAGAGAAAGGAAAATGGAAAGAAGGAAAAGAAAAAGGAAGAAAAGGAAAGAGAAGACAAAGGGAAGGAAGGAAACAAAGATTAGGAAGAGAAGGAAGGAAGCAAAAAGGAAGGAAAATGGAAAGAAGGAAAAGAAAAAGGAAGAAAAGGAAAGAAGGAAAGGAAGGAAGGAAAAAAGAAAGATTAGGAAGAGAAGAAAGGAAAGAAAAAGGAAAGAAGGAAACAAAAAAGGTAGGAAGAGAAAGGAAGGAAAATAGAAAGAATGAAAAAAAAGGAAGGAAAGGAAAGAGAAAACAAAAAAGAAGGGAAGGAAGGAAAAAGAAAGAAAAATTAGGAAGAGAGGGAAGGAAAGAAAAAGGCAAAGGAAACAAAAAAGGAAGGAAGAGAAAGGAAGGAAAGTGGAAATAAAGAAAAGAAGAGAAGGAAGGAAAGAGAGAGAAAAGGAAGGCCTCTGAGTCAGGCTGGCTTTGGGGGAGCGTTCCCCCAAACTGGCAGGATCCGAACCAAAGCGAAAGGAGATGAAATGGGGCAGCTCCCCACAAAATGCAGCCCTTTCCCACATCGGTCATGGCCAGAAAGAGAGGCCGATTCAGCCGCGCCGCTGTCGGAGGTCGTGCCGATCTTTCCTTAGGAGAGGCTGGGGGTTGAACCCTTGGCTCTTCAGACCACCCAGTGGGGTTCGTGGCAGACCTCCCTAGCGTCCAGACCAGGAGCCCCCCCACCCCCCCGCCTCACTCCGCGGCTCAGCCTGTTCCCCACCTCCTGCCCTTCCTCTTTCCTCCCTCGCTTTTGTCCGTGGCTTCTACTACTCTGTGGGAATGGATTAGAGAAACGGTGCTTGCACCCAGCCAAACAAACCCAAGGCTGATCCCTGTAGCTTTCCCCGTGTCCGTCCGTCCGTCCCCCCCCGAAAGAGGCTGCTTTGGCTGATCCCAGCATGCAGAACGACAACCGAGAGGGGCTGCCCGCTCTGCCTGGGGGCCCCCCCGCCCCCTAGCCCCCCCCCCTTTGAAAACCCCCCCCCCCCCCCATGGCTTGGGCGAAAAACAAAAACCAGGGGCAGGAAGTGCTAACTTGGAGGGTGCTGATGGCTTGTCTCCTGCTCTGTTTTTTGAGGAACCCGCATGAGCCCGAAAGCAAAGACCGCGTGGAGACCCTCAGGTGAGACGCGGCCAGGGCTGGGAGGGGCTTCCCACCCGCTCGGGCCCACTCGGTCTGTTTCTCTAGCAGGGCCAGGCTGCTCCTTGGCACCTTCCTCCCTTCTTACACCTCTTCCTTGCCCTGACCTCTTTCTCTCTCTCTTCCTCCTCCTCCTCCTCCCCCTCCCCTTTAGTCTAGCCTTGATGATGTTACCTAGTTTGGTAATGAAATGTCCGCAAGAAAATAACTACCCTTGGAGAGCGCCTCAGAGTCTTCCTCCTCTGCCGCCAGTCTAGCACTGATGATATGACCTTGTAGGGTAATTAAATGTCCGCAAGAAAAGAACCGTGCTCAGAGACACCGCGGTCATCATCCTCTTCCTCCCACCTCCTCTGGCACTGATGAGGTTACCCAGTTTGGTAATAAAACATCTGCCAGAAAATAACCACCCTTGGAGAACACTAAGGACCTTGCAGTCCTCCTCCTCCTCCTCCTCCTCTCCAAACCCCCACCTCTAGACTAGCACTGATGATGTTACCTAGTTGGGTCACGAAACGTCTGCGTGAAAACGCCTCTGCTTAGAGAGCACCAAGGACCCCACAGTTGTTCCTCCTCCTCTTCTAATTCTTTTTCTTTTCATCTCTCCTCTTCCCCCACCCACCCCAGCTCTTCTGGGTCACGTTCTGGTCACGGATCGGACTGGGGCAGCGCACCGGTGCCCGTCGGAAGGGCGGTGGGGCGGGGGGGGGGGGAGAAGAATTCCTCCTCCCTCCTCACCCTTTTCCCTTTCTCCTCTCCCCCCTCCCCCTGGCAGGCCTCACATGATGGGTAGTGGCGGCGGGGGCGGCGAGAAAGACCGGGACGAGAACCGGGACGCCAAGCCGCGGTCGCTGCGCTTCACCTGGAGCATGAAGACGACCAGCTCCATGGAGCCCAACGAGATGATGAAGGAGATCCGGAAGGTGCTGGATGCGAACAGTTGCCAGTGCGAGCTGCAGGAAAAGTACATGCTGCTGTGCATGCACGGCTCCCCGGGCCACGAGGCCTTCGTGCAGTGGGAGATGGAAGTCTGCAAACTGCCCCGCCTCTCGCTCAACGGCGTCCGCTTCAAGCGGATATCGGGCACTTCCATGGCCTTCAAGAACATTGCGTCCAAAATCGCCAACGAACTCAAGCTTTAACGGGCCAAACCCCCCTCCCCCCCCCCCCACACCGGGAGAAAAAGAAGGGGAGGGGGGGGCCCTGCGCTTGGCCCGCACATGCGACGGAAGGGGAGGGGGGAAGTGTCAGGAGGAAAGACGGCCGCGGCTTCCCAAGAAGGGGGTCCCGGGTGCCGGGCCATACAAGGCAAAGCGGGCGGAGGGGGGGGCGGGCAGGGCGAAAAGTGGGGGGAGGGAGAAGCTGGGGGGGGTATTCCCCCCCCCCCAACATGCCTCTCCATCTCCCCCCCTCCCTTCCCACTGATGGATCTCCATGGAGACAGGGTGCGTGGGATTGTGGTTGGCAGCCACCTAGCTGGTCTCCGTGGCAACAGGAACGGGAGGGTACCCAGGAGCTGTCTGTCTGGATGAGGGAAAGCATCCCTTTTGGTCTCCGTGGCGACCGTGGTACTTTTTCTTCCTTGTTTTTTTATTTTTAATTTTTTTTTTTTTACCCTTCTTCCTCTCTTCCCCCTTCCCCCCCCCCCTCCACCCCCCCCCCCCCAGTTTCCTTCTTGTACACAAGACAGGGTTGGCCGTGTTACCAAACTGCAACCCCCCCCCCCAAAAAAGGGGGTCCTTTTAGAGCGGCAGCTGGCAGGAGGCGGTCAGGGATGGTGAATGGGGGGGGAGACCCTTCGCTGGGGGGAAAACGGGGGGGACGGACGGAGGGTCTCGCTGGGCAGGTTGGCGCAGGACGGTGTGTCCGTCTGCCAACGACAAGGAGCCAAGGGAACTCCTTGCTGCCCAGCCAAGGTGTTTCTCTCACACCCACCAACCTGGTCCCTGCAGATGACACAACCCCCCCCCCCCCATACACACACACACACCGCCAACAAAAGACCCACACACTCCTCCCAAGGATCTCTCTTTTTTTTTTGGCTCTTCCTTGCTAATTGGGGGTTGAATGGAGGGGGGGGGGCTTGGTTGTTGAGATGGCACAGCAAACCTGATCCATCCCTCCTTTGTGCCCCAACCCCCCCCCCTTTCCATGTTCCCCCCTCCCCTTTATACAGGCATGGTGGTAGAGGGTCACTCCCTGGGCTGGTTAGCACCCTGTTTACACACACACACACACAGCGTCCAACCCCCGGGGGACGCACCACCCCCCGCCCCCACCCGTGCAAACGTTTCCTTGTCCCGAATGCTGCATCACTCCACTCCAGGGGGGAGGGCTTAGCCTTCCCTTCCCCTGGCATGCCCAAAAATGGGGGGGGGGCACACCAGAAGCTGGCTGTGGAACAGGCCTGCTTTGGTGGGGGGGGGGCAGCACAGCCAGGGGGGGTTTACACACACACACACGCACGCACGCGCATGATCCCACATTCCTTTGGGATGTTCAGGATGGGTTGAAGAGCTTTAGGCCCCCGTCACAGGTACGCTGCTGCCCTTGGCTTTCTGGAGAGAGAAGGGGGTGGGGCGGGGGGGGAAATGACCCATGGCTTCTGTTCCTTCCAATCCCCCCCCGCCCTCCCCAATTTTTATTTCCCTTTCCAAAGCACAAGAGCAAAAGAAGAAGAAGAAAACCAGGAAAAGAAAAGGAAAAAAAAAAAAGGCTGCCTTCTTTTTGGCTTGGCACTCTCTCTGGGTTTCTTTCGTTGTCACCTTTGACCCCCGCCCCCTGCCCCCCGCCCCTCTCTTGAGAATGTATTTTTGGTCCTGGGGAGGGGGCTCTGCATCCCCTTCACTGACACACACACACACACACACGTACACGCCTGGTTTGTATATAACTGTACTGATACCTCGGTTTTTGTGAGTGGTTATTTTTTTTGGGGGGGTGGGGTGGGCTTGTTTTAATTTCTCATCACAACATTGCCTTTTTTTAAAAAAGAAAGAAGATCATGTCCTCCTTTTGGGGAGGGGGAGGTCATCTCTTCCCCTCCCGTCCTTCCCTTCTCTTTCTTTCTTTCTTCCTTCCTTTCTCTCTCTCTCTCTCTCTCTAAAGGATGCTGCCGTTTGATGTAGTTTTACAGGTTCTAGATTAAAACTTTCCAGAAAGCATCTCTCTAGCGTCAGATTCCTATTTTCGGTTCCATGTTTGCTCCCATCCTACTTGAGGTTCCCATCCCAACTTGACCCAAGGGACAGCAGTTTGGGCAGCCCAGCCCACCCAATCCCCCACCCCCAGGACTTGGGGACCAGCAATTTTTTGGGGGGGGGAGGGAAAGGGGAAGCAGACTCCTTCCTGCTCCGGCCGGAGAACCTTGCCGGTTTTCTTATTAAAGCCAAAGAAATTTAAAAAAAAGAACCACCTGCTCCAAGCCTGTTTTTCCAAAATGATGGGGAGGGGGGGAAACTGGGGGAGGGGTGCTCTTCCTTGGATAACATCCCAACTCCAAAATGATTGGGGGGGGGGAGAGAAAGAGGATGCATCTGGGGGTTATCCCTTCCTCCCCCGCTACTTTCCAATCAAGCACCATCCCGAAAACTTGTACCAAAATATCTTTTATTGAAAATGCCACGCGGGACTCTTAAAGAGAGACGTCAGCGCTGAGCTGTCCGGCGAAGGGGCCGGGGTGGGGGGGGTTTGCTAGGTTCGAAGAAAGTTTTTTTTTATTTTTGAAGGGGGGGGACACGTAAACGGTCCTGTTCCTTCCTCTTAAGGCGATCGACAGCTGACCCTCGGACGCTCGCACGCTGCTGCTTCCAGGAAGGGAAGAGATGAGTAAGTACAGAGCAGATCGGGGCTTTTTCGTCCTCCGTGTAGAAATTCCAAGTCCTCCTTCTCCGGCATGGGGATATCTGGTTCGGAAGCAGTCGGCCTCTTCCCCCCCCCATCCCCAAAATTGGGAGACATGCCCCCCCCGCTCAAATCATCGTCACCCCCTTCTTTCCAAGCAAGGGAAACATATCCTGTCCAGTCCTATTCCAAAACTACATCTTCTACTGTTTTCTCTTTAACCCACCAAGCCCCCTGCCCCAATGCCAGCATCACCCCATCCAGGGCTGCCAGCTTTCCAAACTATGAGAGAGGGGAGGGCAGGAGTGGAAAGCCCCCCCACACACACACCCTCTTTCTCCTGCTCCCCCCTACTTCGTCCCCCTCCCCACTGCGTTCACCCCACGCCCGTACCATTCGTACTGTTCCCTGCCGAGCCCCACCCACCGGGGCCGCAGCGAGGCTGGCGCAGGGGGTCCCCCCGCTTCAGAGGGACCCCAAGGAAGGCAGAGGGGGCGGCTCGCCCGTCCCGCTGAGCAGCGTTGGGGGGTGCTGGGCTCCCCTCTGCGTGGCCTGGCGAGACCCCGCGGGCCGGATGAGCGGAGGCGGCAGCTGGTTGACCGAAAGTCTGGGCTGCAGGAAGCGGCCTTGCTGCAGGGGGGGCGGCTGGCGGTGCAGCATGGGGGCGGTCGGCAGGGTGGGCCTCAGCAAAGGGGGAGGCTGGGAGAGTGCCACGGGGGGAGGCCGGGCGGAGGCGGGGAGGGGGGGAAGCGCAGGAGGAGGCTGGGGCGGCTGGCTTGGAGGCGGCTGCACAGATCGCGATACAGCGGTGATCTGGACCTGGAAGGATGAGAGGAATGACGTCAGCGCCATGCCGGGTACCCCAACGGTGCCCGGGATCCCCCCCCCCAAAAAAAGGCCTTCCCCCTCCCCCTGACCTCGTCCTCTTCCTCGCTGCTGCTCTTCTGCTCCTGGGGGGGAGAGCTGCCGTGGGCGGGGCCCGGACTCAGGCCTTCCTGCTCCGCCTCCCACTCCTGCAGCACCTCCTCCAAGTTAAACCGCCGGCGGTAGCTGACGAAGAAGGTTTTCACCTGCGCCACCGTCTTGTTGCTGATCACTTCGGCGATGGCTTGGAAGTCTTTGCCGTATTTCCGGATGGCTGCCGCGGGAAGGGGGGGGAGGGGGAGAAAAGCCAAGGTTGAACAGGACGCCCTGCATAGCGCCACATGGCCAGCAAGAACGTGGCACCCTGTCTCTTGTGTGGAAGCCGACAGAACTTGGGACAAAGGCTCCCTGGTGCCCCCAGGGGGAAACTGCTTATTTATCCTACTGGGGGGTGGGGGGGGTCTCCCACCCATTCCACATGGTGGCCTAGAGCAGGAGTCGCCAACCTTTTGGACCTCGGGGACCACCAAACTCAAATAATTTTAAATCCCAGGAAGCACTTAACTGGTTTTGTAGGTGTGGCCTAATTTGTGGGTGTGGTTTGGTGGTCATGTGACTGGATGGGCATGGCTTGTATGTAAATATTTATATAAATATTGAATTTTTTTATATAAAAAAGCAACTTTTACTCAAAATCAGGCAGATTGAGTTGCTCACAGAATCATTCAGGGATCTATCTATCTGCCATCGGCTAGCTCAGTCTGTCACATAAAATTTGTTTGCCGTGAGTCTGCACTGAATAACAGAACCTTCAGTCCTAAGGGAGGTTCAGCTGTGCTTAAAAGCAGAGCCGAAGATCTAAAGACTAGCTAGAAATCTAACCGTTTCCTGCTTCCTGGCTAATCTAAATCTCCCGGCACAGCAGAACAGCTGATTGTCGGAAAAAAGAAAAATAGCAATTTAGCAGGCAAGTTTACCGGGTAAGGAGTGAGTGGGCGGAGAGGGTTCCCGCGGGCCATGTGGGCGGCGCGGCCTGGATTAATTGCTTTGGGGGGTTGCTCTGGGGGTGAGATTTCTCTGCGGCCCACCTTCTGATGCGAGTGGGGAAAACTCACCCTGCACTGCCAGCAGCTGCTCATCGGTCGTCCAGCGGGAGTTGAACTTGATGTTAGTCTGCAAAATGTACCAGTTTGAATTGAATCTCGGGGGGGGGGGCCCCCTTTTTTCCCCTGCCCCCCCCCACAGAGCACTTTGGAACCCCAAAACCAGGAAAGCACTGCCCCCTCCCCCAAAATCCCACAGGGGGGTCCTCCTGCTGCTCTCTCCAAATATTGCCCCCAATTCAATTACACAAATACTAGGGACTAAGGCGGGATAGAACTAAGGCGGGACTAGAACTCACTGCCTCCTAGTGATTGGCCCAAAGTCTCTCAGTCATCTTTCACGCCTAAGGCGGGACTAGAACTCACTGCCTCCTGGTGATTGGCCCAAAGTCTCCCAGTCATCTTTCACGCCTAAGGCGGGACTAGAACTCACTGCCTCCTGGTGATTGGCCCAAAGTCTCCCAGTCATCTTTCACACCTAAGGCGGGACTAGAACTCACTGCCTCCTGGTGATTGGCTCAACATCTTCCAGTCAGTTTTCACACCTAAGGCGGGACTAGAACTAGAGTTTCCAGGTGATTGGCTCAACGTCTCCCAGTCAAAGGCGGGACTAGAGTTCCCCCACCTAGTTCCTAGCCTGGAGCCTAGGCCTGGCTGGGCCAAAATGGCTCCCTTACTTTTAAATAAATCCAAACAACGTTTCCCCTGTTGCCCTACCGCCTATTTTGGGGAGCACGAGGTTGGACCTCTCTCCTGTCCCCCCTGCCCTGAATGAATTGGGGCGCTCACGTTCTTCCCTCCCTGGAGCTCCCCGCATTGGCACACAGGCGAGCGCTCACCTCGGTTGGACGCAGTTTGTGTATCCCCTCGCCAAGCGCCTGCTTCATGCTGCTGTTGATCTGCTTGATGCTCTGCACCTAGCGCAGAAGGGATGGGGAGTCTCAGAACAGGGGGTGGGTGGGTTCCAATTGGGGGGGCGGGTGAACACCCCCCCTCCCCCCGGCAAGCTTAAAGGATGTAAGAGGAGACCCCAAAGGAGCTGGAGATAAAACTACAACAACCTAAAACTAGGGTGAAATTTCCTGACAGAACAATTAACCCGTGGAACTCCTCGCCTCCGGAAGTTGTGCCTGCTCCAACACTGGAAGTTTTTAAGAAGACTTTGGGATTAACCATTGTCTGAAGTGGTGTAGGGTTTTCTGCCTAGGAGGTGGGTTGGACTAGAAGACCTCCAAGGTCCCTTCCAACTCTGTGATTCCATTCCATTCTGTTCTGTTGTATTATCTGCCTCCGATTCTATTCTATATTTTATTCTCTACTTCTTATTCTATTCTAATTTCTAAT